TTGACGGTTGGACTCGATGATCTTAGAGGTCTTTTCCAACCTTAACAATTCTATGATTCTATGTAACTTATTTTCAGCTGAAGAGTTAATTAAATAAATGTACTGTGTCAAAGCAGAATCTTGTCACGTATCCCAAAGAGTACTGGGTGAGAGCTGCAGTAAAACTAGGAAGCTAATGGGGAGGAACTCAAGAGTTGATAGTACTGTGATTTGGGATGTTTTTTACCCCTGCTTCCTCTCAGCTAAAAGCATGGAGTGTTCTGCTACATTATTGCTTTGGCGTGAACACCTTGCTTTCAAGATGCTCAGAAATATTCATAAATGCATGCCTTGCTCATGAAGTTGAGTTCCGTTATTGTGACATGAATGCCTGAACTCACTTCTATGCAAAAATTCGTTAAAATAAAAATCCAAATTACTTTGCAGTGTTCCATCAACAAAATTTGTATGATGTGCAAGAGCTGTGCTGTTGTGCTCCATGTTACTGGTATGGTTTCTTTATAGATGTCCAGCACCAAGCATGCTACCAATACCAAATAAACAGCCCTGCAAATATCGAAATTGTTGAGATGTGACTTGGAAAGATCATATGCTGCTTTCTGAAATCTTTGCAACCTCTTTCTATACTATTCTGCAACAAATAAACAAGCTTTTTTAATGCAAACTTCTTCTTCAATTAACAGGTATAGTGGGTGCAACAGAAGCAGTTAAGGAGATCACACTAGACAGTAAGGTACTTGTTTCTAAATTTTCCCCTTGCTTTATTACAGGACCTAAAGGTAATAGAAGTCTTACCTGCAGCAATCTAGTATTGCCTGTGAAAGATAAAAATATACTTTGTCACTAGGTGTGTTGCAGATATACATTGACCTTCAGAGCCCATGATACTAGTTTAAGCATGTGCATCTCCTTATTACTGTGCGTTTACTGAGGCAGTGTGCTTTTTGGAATGTCTTTAGCCAGTATGCTCTTGTGCCAGGCTTCTACAAACTGAAAATGAAATTCTGTTTACAGTGATACCGCATCTTTGTGTCTCAAGAAACTAATGGTTGGAGATCCAGTGTAAAGAAATTTTTATACGGAAAAATAATGTAGGGATGTAAACTATTTCTTCATAATCTTTAACTACTGCAAGCAGAGTTTTAACACATTTGGTCCTGTTTGAGGCTTGTGCCCTCAAGTTTAGAAGTACTAAAACTGTTTAAATGTATACATCTTACAAAGTCATCAGTTTCTGCACCTGTTTCCAAAAAGCCCTGCAGCAGGAGCTAAATCTGAAACTTGAAGTCCTCAGGAAACTGAGAACAGTTGGAAGTACTTGAAGTGGAAATGTGTTAGCTAGCATGTTTAAGAAACATGGAGAAAGTCACAGAGACACAAAATGCTTTTAAAGATGAGTTGGTTGTTAAAGCAGAGTTCTGTCTGTGTGCTATGCGAATCCAACCACAAAGCTTTGGATTCTAAAAATTAGGGGGAAAGAGAATGGGCTGCTGCCTGCTACCACACAGTTGTAAACAGCTCAAAATGCTATTGATGTGATGAACTGTGAAATACATGTATTTCAAGTGAGACTGTATTTCAAGTGAACATAGTAAAAATATTGCTTTTTCACAAGCCAGTAACATAAGGGTAGAAGAAACACTCTAAGGAATACCTAGAGGTGATCACTATTTCTGTGAAACACAATACTTGCAGAATGTTATTGTGATTCATAACTGCTGTTGTGTGTTATGAATTGGATTTCACTTCTAATATATTGTATGTAGAAAAACTTGCTTGTTGTACAGTACTTCGTTTCTTGGACCACAGGTCCAATCCAGAAGGACAATTCTTTTTCTGCTACTGTTCTGTTTGCCAAAGCACTTCACAACTTAGTTTCTTACTGGTTTTGATGTTTTGGATTTTTAATGAGGAAACCAGCCACCTGATGCTTAAAATTAGAGCAGCTTCTAATTGTAATCATTATTTGGAGTATTCTCCTAAAGTCTTCATGAAACCTGTGTAAATCAAGACCTCCCCCTTCTGAATTTCACTGGGGTTGTCTGTTGGGTTCAAATGCTATGCGTAGGCCCACAATGCCCAAAAGAAAAAGTTGGCTGAGGGCCTGTGCCGTATTCATTTCTGTTGGACTCTGCTTCCTCAGACAATGATATCAAAATGTGAGATCTTTAAGGACTCTCTTGTGTTTTAAAAACAATTATGGAACTGGAGGATGCCCTTAGTTTATGGAACTGGACAACGCTCTTAGTCATATGATTTAGTTTTAGGTAGTCCTGCGAGGAGCAGGGAGTTGGACTCCATCATCCTTATGGGTCCCTTCCAGCTTGAGATATTCTATGATTTTATGATAACTGCTGCACAGTTGGCTGTGGGTTAGGACATATAAAATCTTAACCTACATGTTTAGTCATAGCCTTTCATTTGAGATAAGTGGGGTTTTTGAAAAGAAATTATGGGCTGTTTAACACCGTGTTTATTCTTCTTTGCTTAGGAATTAAATCATTCCAGATTACAAAGTCAAAGGAGAACTTTTTAGTGGATTTTTAATGTCATACTAGAACTTTGAAACTACGTTTGGTTAATAAGCAAATATTTGAGTTCAGTATCGTCCTTCTTAATATTGCAGAAATTATTTTTCTGGTTTGCTGTATGTATTGACTGGACTTACGCCTTAAATTTGCCGGGGCTGTTAGGCTGTGTAGATGTAACAATCTTTAAAGCAGCGTTTTCAATTTAACTTCTAAAGGATAATATAAAAATACCGGAACGTTCAGCATCTTGTGAAGATGATGATGAAGAAGATGAAGGAGAAGCTGCAGACATGGAAGGTATTTCCTTAAATTGGGTGGGACGTGCTTTATTTCAGGCCTTTAACTAAAGCAGCACACTCTAAGAAAACACTACTCGCTTCTTGGAATGTGTGCTGAAAAATTCAGCAGGCATATGCTCTTTATCATCTTTTGTATGGTCTTATTGGTGCATGTTTACTCTAACTTGTGTGCCAAAACCTGTATGAATGTTATGTGACTGGGAAATTAATTTGAGTAGCAGAACAGATCCAAGCAAGTATAAATTAGGGATTTAGCACAGCTTCCTTCCTGCTTCATACCTACACTTAAACTCAATCTGCCTACTTAAAACCACTTAAGGATTGCTTATCATGTACTTACTGTAGTCTTCATCAAATTTGTATTAAAAAAGGTATAGTCTGGTTTTGGGATTGGGAAGTCTGCCTGAATAAAACATCTTTAGATACGTGTAGATTGTTTTAAAGGAGTTGATTATGAATGAGAAATATGATGACTAGCTACAAGCTGAACACAGAATTTTATGGGTCTTCTTTTCAGAGTATGAAGAAAGTGGGCTATTGGAGACAGATGATGTGAGTGAACAGTTCTCTATCTTGTCTGTTATAATGCTTATCACCAGTATGAGCACAAGCAAAGTAAAAATAATGATAACAAATGGCTGACATAACAAGATTGTTATTGAGCACTGGGATTACTGAGCCTGGTTTCCTATGGATTTGTCTCCTGCCAACCTACTGAAGTAACCTTAACTCTTAGGTCCTCAAAGATTTTGATGACAGTAATTTTGCTTTTTTTGCTGATCCTTTTCACTCTGCTTACACACAGTGCTGTATTTGCAAGAGGTAAAAAATGCAGTGGTTGTTCTTGAGGCTTACATGTGGAGGATGAGTGGCTTATAGGTTCAGTAGATTGCACTGATGCACCAGACTGTCATGAGAGAAAACAGAGGGCATTGTTATTTGTGGTACTCTGCTAAGGTCTTAATGAACCTGCATAAACTGAGACCTCTGCCTTCTGAATTTCATTGGAATTGTCTGTTGGGTTCAAAAGTTATTGGTGAAAGAAGGGAGGGGGATGTGTCAACGTAGTTGCATGCTTCCTTAAGAAATTGGACCTTTTTTAAAAAACAAAAAACCCCACCAAAAATAAAACCAAAAACTACTTGGTGGGAGAGAAAGTGGTACTCCTAATTTAAAGATAAAACCCAAAAGCCTATGGTTTTTTTTTTTAATGCTTGCTTAAGAACATTAGTTTCAGTTTTACAGCTTTATGTAACTACTTAGGATGGGAAATGAGGGCACCCAAACAAGACTATACTAATGTTGTCATTTTTACCTTGAACCAGGCAACGCTTGACACAAGACAGATTGTAGAAGCTAACAAAGCTAAAGTTGATGTTGGAGGGGAAGATGCTATTCTACAGACTAGAACTTATGACCTCTACATCACTTATGACAAATATTACCAAACTCCAAGGCTCTGGTTATTTGGATATGATGAGGTATAGATATGTTGGTTTTTTCCCCACTTCTGTGAAATTAGACTCACCATGTCAAATAGCAAGGCTATTTTGTTGCTTATTCACAGTAGAAATTTAAAGGAAAAAATGGTGAGCTAACCATTCTACAGTCAGGGTTGCAGGCAGGACTTACGGTACTTGCAGGAAGAAGTAGGAACAATTTCACTGAAAATTGTACTTGGTAACCGAGCACTTTTGGAAGGAAGGAAATCATGCTCTGTCATTTGAGTTTCTGTTAGCTCTGTAGAGCTAGTAATAAGCCCAGTAAACTTAGTCATGTAAGCAGGTATGTGTTTTTATGATCTTCAGAGGGAGAGGATTAGATAAATCACTCTTCCCTTTAATGACTAAGTTTCTTGAGTTAAAGTTGGTTAGGGCTTACAGCTCAAATACCTAGATGGGAACCTAGGTGGTTCTTCACTTTACCGTTCACCTGGTATATTAAAAACAAAAACTTGTGCAGTACTATTTCTACACGATGTGGATTTTAACACTATCACTTCTTTCAGTGTACCTTCAGAACTGTTGTATGTTAGATGCTTATAATTTATGGTGTTTCATCTGCTAATGATGTTAGAATTGCTGAGGAGGAGCACAAGATTCTTTGTTAGTAATGCTTTTGTTCTCATGTTCCTTTTTCCCCATATAGCAACGGCAGCCTTTAACAGTAGAGCATATGTACGAAGATATTAGTCAAGATCACGTCAAGAAAACAGTGACCATTGAAAACCATCCTCATCTTCCTCCACCTCCCATGTGCTCAGTTCATCCATGCAGGTAAGTTTTTGTTTCTGGTCTGATTCAGCATGCAGATACAAGACACTTCACTGGTCTTGTTAAGGATTTGGTTCAGATTTTCTGGACATATTCCTACAGTTGGCTGCCATAGTGGTCTGTTAGCTTCTGAGGCAGTGTGAAAGGAAGATACCAGCGATTCTCTGAAGTCATTCCGGTGCTCGCTGGCGCAAGTGTATTCTGCAGTTAGAGCTCTCTTCTCTCTGCTCAACTTGCTTTTCGTCCACTTTCCTACAGACTCCAGAAGATGGCAGACTACTAGAACTCTATAAAAGAAGGTTCTCCTTATACTTTAATTTGCTGCTTTTTTGGGAGAGTAAAAGTATAATGTATACTTTGGGAGCAGAAAAAGCTATTTGAACAGGAAATAACTCTTTCTTATTTTGTAATAACTACCTTCTGCTCCCCCAGAAATCCTTGAAATTTTACACTGATAAATAGAGGTCCTTTAATCACCACACTGAAATATTTGTTGAACACAAGTGCAAAACACACTTGTGTTTTTTAGGGTCTTTTCTGTTGTGTTTTCCATATTTCTCACCCAAGACAGAGAGAGTCTGTAGTTCGACTAGCTGCACAGATTTTTTTTTTCTAGGTGTTTGAAAGGTGCCTTTTGTCTTAGATGTAGGCCCTAACATCCTTTTAGGTGTCTTAGTGATACAGAGCCAATATCTTAAACAGTGTAACTCCTCAGCTTCTTGATAGTATGAAGTTCTTGGGGATAGTTTAGGCTTTTATCTCATTTTAAAAAGAGACACTCTTTGTAGTCTTGCATATGTTTAAAAAAAAAGAGTCCAGATTGCCCCTTTAAGTCTTGTAATTTCTTTTGACTTAAAGAAACACTTCTGGGATCTATGTCACTAGCTGAGGTGTCAAATAATCAGCTTGTTGTTGACAAGCTTGTAGTTTTTGCAGACTCAAAACATTCTTGTTTCTGGTTTAGGAATTATTTGATCATAAGATTAGTCTTGGGAAGGGTATACCATTCTTTAGAGAGAGAGAGAGCAAGGGAGCTTTGCACCAAGTAGTTTATGGCTACTTTTGATCTTATTATGAGGATGTATATTCATGGGCTTTGTAAATCTGTATCTCGTGTTTCTTCCAGTTCATAGTTCTTTAACTACTGCTTTACAACAGTCTTTGCTTTCACCAAGCAGTCAGGCTTATATCTGGACAATATTGAGTAGAGAAGCCATTGTACAACTGGGAAATAGCTTTTTTTTTCCCCAGTTTAGCTGTCTTGTAGAAAAATTTGAAGTGGTGAAGTTTATTGTTCGTCTTTAAATCCTCAGGTTTAAGTCTACACTAACACAATAAACCTGTGAAAATGTCAGTCTCGGTGCTCAAGAGTAGTAGAGGAAGCAGAACTTGGAAAACTGTTAGAAAAAGAACGGAAGACAGCATAAGGCCTCTTAATCTGTGGGACCGCCCACATGTTGAATATTGCAGTACAGCTCTGGTCATCTGTTCTGTAGTCTGTGAGATGAAGGAAGACTAAAACTGGAAAAGATACAGAGGGGTTGTCCGGAATAACTGAGGTTATGAAGCTCTTTGCCATAAGAAATGATTGAATAACCTGGGAGCCTTCAGCTTTGGAAAAGGCAGCTGGGGGGG